ACGATAAAAGTAAATGAATTATTTTTGCAAATAAAAAACGAGTAATGATAACGAATTATTTCTTAGAGGAAAAAACGAGTTATTTTTATAAAGTAACGCCAATTCTCTTTATTAATAGTACACATCTAAATAGAATTATATAGCTGGGCTAATTTTCAGTTTGTAATCGAAAAGTGAAACATGAAAACGTTTATAACTCAAACAATATCACAAATAGAATAAATATCTGTATGAATTTTTGTATTGATTTTTGTATTGATCATGAATTTACTTCTAAAGTTATGAAACTGTATATCCAAACATTCTATCGCTCAGAAAACATTTCATTTAATTTTAATGATCCATCATGATATGCTGGTATCCTCTTTGCTGATATATTACGTCTTGTGTAATCAAGACTATTAAATTTTTACAGCTTCTAATTTTCTTTCTTTGGAGATATTTTTATGAGAAATGTATAATCCATCACAAATTACTCCGCTTAAAATATAACGTTGAAATAGAATTAGCTCTCAGAAATATCTTGTTCATTATGTTATATATTCCTTATCTTTTACGTTCCTTCAGAAATCGAGTTACATTATTCAAGAACATCAATTTCAATATTTCCGTTATTATATATAAATAAGATAATACAAGTCCTATAAACAGAATCAAGTCTTCCAATTTTTTAATGTAACAGAGTTGAGAATCTTCAGATTTTTTAATATAAGAATATATATCTGTCATAGTGTCGACATTCAACTTTCAAAAAGTAATAATTCAATAACAATGTATAAATAAATCAAACGAAATAAAATATAAAGCTAATGAGAGCCAACGCAGACATTACTGCGTAAATATTTTAGTAGAATATTACATAAATAACGAAAACATTTCGACTTCTAGTTTTTATAGGTCTTCCTCGGTGTAATTAAGATAAATAAAAAAAAACAAACGTAAAACATGAGTTGTTATTGCCGAGGTATATTATAAATGTATATGTGTATGTGTGTGTGTGTGTGTGTGTGTGTGTGTGTGTGTGTGTGTGTGTGTGTGTGTGTGTGTATGTGTATGTGTATGGAAAAAACATAAAAGAAGGTAACGATCACAGGTATTTCAAAAAACACAAGAGGACAATTTTGTATTTGTACCAATTTACAATGAAGAGGATCCAAACTGTATAATTGAAAAAAAAACATTATCTACGTGATATTTTGCTAATAAATATTTAAATTTTTTATGCATCAATGACGTTGGCTCTTTAGCTTCCTTTAATTCAATATCTCCAGAAATATTCAAGCATATCTATTAATTAAAAAATGAAATATCTTGTGTACGCTTATCATACACATTTCTATTATTAGGTGTTGGAATTAATTCGTAGCGTTTTTAATGAAAGAATGTTATTTATTTCACATGAGCATTAAAAAATACATTAATGAAAGTACTTCCCATCACTTGTAAAACGCTACGAATTAATTCCAACACCTAATATTTTAAATAAAAACAATAAAATATATACTTTCTTGCTTGAAAATAAAGTCTATATAATTTTAACAACATGAACTTTTTTAGATAACTTTATTATTAGATAAAAATGATATCTCGCTAACATCCCATGTATCATTCGTTTCCTAACTATTCGTGAAGTGGAACAGCCGATGGCATGTGCACGATTTGAATGATAAATACTAAATTCATGAGTGGTAACTATGACTAACGCTATGGCACGCGAAATCCTACGCCTCTCGCCTTGCGCTTCCACGACAAATTTTCCATTCTCTGGTATTCAATGCGTTCGCTCTCTCCTATCGCTCTCCTCTTCGCACTTTTAAAACTCCACAAGGTCGAGTGGCGACGTGGACGGAGACGAAATCAAGTCAAGCGCATATTGTGCGATCCGAAAGCGAAGATTACAAGAAATAGTTTTTGGCATTCGACTCACAGTTCATCTGATCACACAAAACACGCAGAAGAAATATGTGCACAGCTTTCTTTTCGTTCACTTATTTTTCATAAAGCTGTCTTAAAAGTTCAATTAAAAATAAATGATCCTTATCAATTCTTCATTTCTTTTTTATGCTTAGGACGCGATAAGGATTGACTTAATTGCACTTAACGTTAGCTAATATCTACTTGAAAAGTCCGTAACATAAAACTACGCATGGAAATTTACCGTAGCTCGTTTCTTTGTATTCCATACGTGATTTCTTAGAAAGATAGTTTCTTGAAAGTCATATAGTCTTATATATATGTAATATATAATATAGTTTAAGCTAAAAGTTTGAAAATACTTTTTAAAAATTGACATTTTTAAGGTTATTTATTCAAGTGTTTGTAATAATATGTTTTTTAAAATAATAATTCTTTAGTCAATAATTATTGTTCAATTTGAAGAATTATTGTTCTGGTAACACATTATTAAGGATATTTGAATAAGAAATCACAAAAATATTGATTTTTGAAAATTAAGAAATAACTTCTTTATAACTACACTTTACATCTATCCTGTTTGAATATTATAAGATTTTTGCATAATATGATTTTTTTTGACAAAAATTATCAATAAGAGGCAATTTTTAATCAATTATTAATCATAACTGACTCTGTTTTTATTTAAAAATTTATGAAATGTGTGTGTACACACACACACACACACACCACACACACACATAATAACATCAATTTTTACATGACGCTATTTTTATATTGCAATAAAAAAGATAATTATTTGAAAGATAATTTTTATGTGGAAAAAACAGCATCTTTTGTAAGATTATTTTAATTTTTTTTTTTTACAGTTTTGCACGTTTTTTACGTCCTGTTTTGATACTGGTATATAAAAAATTGACATACAATTATATACAATTATTTTATATACAATTATATATAATTATATACATAATATGTTTATATATTGTATATATACATACATTGTTTCCCAAGTATATATGTATCTAATAGTCTCTCAATTATATTATCCTCTTTTTTTATATTGAAATAGTAGATTTATATGCAGGATTGAAAATGTTACATCAATAAAAGTACCGTTTTATTTTTTGTAAATCGTAACTCATTACTGTTACTCTATTACTCGTTACTTGTTTTAAATATTAATATCGTTATTAATAAGAATAAATTTTCAGTATTTACTGCCAATACTGAGAATTTATAGTTTACGTTGGTGTATATGTGTGTGTGTGTGTGTGTGTTTTAAGTACACACACATATACAGGTTGTAATATTGACAGATGATCGGAATGCAATCTTTAAACGCCCACTTTACACGATCTATAATTTATGATAGAATTCGAAATAAAATTATATTTGTAATTGTGTATATTAAATTATAAATACAACTATATGTATATTATATTTACATATATATGATGATGATTTTATTAATTGTACACATATATTTGTTTGTCATCCGATCGGACACGATTCTATTCATAGCGTTCATAGATTTTCAATTTCATTCAATTTCACCAGGTATAATTGACCAATCATGAGTATTTATAATAACATATGCATATTTGATGCGTCTTTTATATTTAGAAAAAAAAATGTTATAGTTTTAAATGTATAATTCTGATTATTCATATGTTTTCTTTCATTACACGATATATAAAATTATAAATACGATTCTATCTCGAATTCTATCGCGAATTATACAATATCGTCTAAAGTGGGCTTAAGATATGAAGTACAAAACATTTTTTGATATTTAAATTTCTATTATAAAATATTTCTCAATTTTATATTAGGTGTTGGAATTAATTCGTAGCGTTTTACAAGTGATGGGAAGTACTTTCATTAATGTATTTTTTAATGCTCATGTGAAATAAATAACATTCTTTCATTAAAAACGCTACGAATTAATTCCAACACCTAATATATATATACATATATATAATGTAATCCATTAAATAATTATGAGGATAATAAGAAATATTAAAGTAATGATACAAGTAAGATTGAATTTGTTATTGTTACTATAAAAATGTCACAGACAAAAAAATGTCACAGACAAAAAAAATAATAATCGTTATCGAAAAAAGTAAAAGTGAAAATAGTGACGGCGTAATATGAACATATTATTTCTCAACGCTCGACTGTATACAATCTCAGTGTTAAATATTTACATTTTATGAATCTCATACGAGAACATTAATGAAGCTTGCTTTCTCCATCAGCTCACAAGCTATAAAATAGCTTGTTTCCTTTACCTCTTCTTTTTTTTAGTTTCCTTATTTCAAAATATTTTCTACATACATATATTATCTTCCGCTATATGCGGTAACATTTATCAGCAAACTGTAATTATCGATAATTTTTTTACCTGTGATAAGATAGAATAAAGTAACATAATTTCAAGTAATTTCACAGTATCGATATTCACTGAATTCGCCACGAAGTCACGATGATTGATACATTTTACGATCTACGTCGGTCTCTCTTGATTGTTGAACAAGAACATTTCTATAGCCCCGACTACGTCAACGTTACCGCATTGAAGGAATTTAAATTGCACCCTTATTGCAGGTATTACAGAAATAAGAAAAAGACAAAAAACAACTATATTCAGGATAAAGAAAGAGAAAGAAAAACTGACTGGATCCGCGGCATTCTGCTGGAGGGACGGAGTAGGAATATACAGCTTCGTCAATAAGAGAAGGAGAAGCTGTAACTCCCTTGCGACGAATGTGTGTACAAAAGATAAGGTTATCGCTGGAGCGAGCGAACGAGCGAGAGAGAGAGAGAGAGAGAGAGAGAGGGGGGGGGGGAGAGTGGGGGG